CAATTACTAATTGATACTTAAAAATTTGAAGTTGAAAATATTTATTTCCAATCTATTAATTACAAACTAAATCATTCTATAGCTTACGAACAAGCATATTCAATTGTTTTATTATTACTTATTATTCGAATCAAACTGCCTCCTTCACTGCAAATTTATACTTTCATATAAATCAATAATAATCCAAAGTTTTAATTGCTTACAAAAAGTTTATTATTAGCCATTACTTATTCGCAGTAAATATAAAATAAATTCTTCACAAATAATACAGTAAATATAAAATAAAATTCTTCACAAATAAAATTCTTCACAAATAATTTTGTAGTATTCTAAAAATTCAAATAATACATTTAAATTTTTAGAATACTACAAAATTTGTCAGTAATGGCAAATAAAAAACTTTTTGTCAGCAATTAAAACAAACAACAATAATAGATCTCTTCAAAACTAAGAAAATAATAGTGATAAAATGATGTTTATTTTGGAAAAAAAAGATTATCGCATAAATAAATACAAAAATAATTAAGTTGTTTGATAATAAAAAAAACTACAACAAAAGTAAATGGCACTTTAATTTATTTAAAAACTATTACTTAATAGTAATTTTTAGATAAGCAAATTTTAAGAGTGGATTTAAAAATTTTGCATAATTTCCGCCATAACAAATAAAAATTTATTATTAAAAAGCATAAAAGTGGATTAAAATTTGATAAAAATTTGCAGCAAAGAATAATTATTCTCATTTTTAATTTTATATTAATTGTATTGAAATTAATTTGTTTTTATATCATTTTGTATTGCTAAATTTGATTCAATTTTATACTTTTATTTTTTATTTTTCAAAACAAATTACAGTGCAGCAAATATTTGAAGTTGTTTGAATACTTTTTATCAGTCATTTATGATGTGAATGGAATTCAAATCTATGATAATTTGAGATCATTTTTTTCAAAACATTTTGAAGAGAGTACTTTTTTTAGTGCATTGCTTCAAAAATTTTATTTCAGGATGGAATGTCAAGAGGGAAAAATTCTTGAGATGACCTCTGCTAGTTTTGCCTTTTATTTTTAAGAATTTCGCGTTACTATCAAAAATTCATTGTCATTTATTTCGAAAAAGGTCAATTATAGCATTTTTGAAAAACAAAAAAAATTTTTAAATTTCTCAAAAAATTAGGTCGCCATAAAATTTCTATCAATCTCGCAGAATTTTGGCGAGGGAAATAATATGTGTGCAAAAAATTCCAAACAAAACCAAAAATTTGAAATAAAAAAATAATTTCAAAATTATCGTTTTTAATTATGCAAATTTACCGCTCATATACTGATTCCACATTATGTTTTTAATAAAATACGTATAAAAATTAAAAATACAAGTCAAAAATTTTAAATTATGATTTTGTAATGCGCAAGTTTTTATGTCAAAGGACATATATTGCTTTATTCACGCTATTATGCGCTTAATTTTTTATGTACGTTTAGCACTTCTATAGTTAAAAAAATTGAAAAGACTCATTCTTTGTTCCTTTATGGCATAACATTTATACGAGATAATTACGTTATTCAAATACACGTTGACAAAGCCTTTTGAATTTATTTAACATAATGCATTTTCTCTCATATCAAAGTGCTTTATATCACACCAAATACATTTGTATTTTTAATGAAATAGAATACGTAAAAAAAAATACGTCACCGTTACGTACTTCACGAAAAAGTATAACGTTAAAACTATTAGCAATGTCTCACTTAAATTAAATAGATACAATAATAATAAATCCCAAATAACTTGGAAATCATCAAATTTTCAATGTTGTAAACATATATACCAAAAATTCATTAAAAATTTCTCTTTATTTTATATTATTTATATGCTTACTTTATCAAAATCAAAGCAAGCACAAAATGCAAATTGATATTTAAAAATATGAAAAAATACTTACTTGAAACAAAATAGTTCCTTTCACAGTAATACCAACACCTGGATTGAAATAAATGTGCACACCTGTCTCAACTGTCAGTACTGCTTCCGTTTCTATTATTAAATCACTTTCCACCAGATAAGGTGAATTACGGAAGTATAGTGTTATATTATTTGAGTATACGCCTAAATGAACAACTTATAATAATAAATAATAAACAAAGTAAGCATATAAATAATAATAGTTATTATTATCACGATAATTGTTATTATTGATGATAATAATAATTATTACTCATTTTATTACTACTAATTTCATTGGTATTATTTGCAATCTTTAAATACAAAATTTGAATTTTGATAATCAACGCGAAAAATATACTATTAAATTTTCAATTTTCTTATTCATTTTCAGCTTAATAATGACTTTTTGTATTAATAAATATTGCAAATAATTTATCCAAACGAATATTAACTGATTTGTTGTTTACTTTCCATTTACGTCTCATTTTACAATATATTTTCCCTGTCAATTGTTTGTTAAAAATGCAGGCAACTAATTTTTGCATAATTCAACGATAATTCGCCCCAATCAAATGCTCCTTCAAAGAATGCAGACTTGTGTTCAGTCTGAATAATTACTTTGAATAAAAATTTTTAAAATTTTTTAATTTCAGAATTGTATATTTAAAATTATTTATATGTAAACAATTTTAAGTAATTATTAAGAAATAAAAAAGAAATTTTATGCAAATTTTCATTATTAATTTTTATTTAATTGACAATAGAGACAATGCTTTTTTATAATTGTGTGTACTAAAGCTTAATAAACCGCTCTTAAAATTTCTCGTTTTTTGAATTTTTTTGATATTCTATCGATTTTTTGGAAATTAAAAAATGAAATAAAAGAATATAAAAAATTACTAAGTAAAAAATTACTTTATAGATAAACATTAACGGAGAAATAAAATCTGCTTGTAAGAAAAATATTAGTAATATTCTTGAAGAATTTTTATTTAAAATTGAATGCACTTCATATAAACATATAACTAATAATATTGAATATGTAAAAGCCAAATACTGATATTACATGTAAATATAAAATATTAATTAAGAATTGACTTTATTAATAATTATAGTAATATCAAATTACCTCCAATAACATTCTTTATTTTTTGTTCACGTGCGGGGGAAGTACTGCCTTGAAGGTTATCAACGCTAGTACGAAGAAATTTAGGATTATTGCCTTCAATTACAGGAATATCGGTTTTATCGTTCGCAGATAATATAATTGCCGGGAGTAATGAACAGAGAAGTGATAATCGTGAAAGGATTAAGAAAACAGACTGATTTATCATTCTGACGTAATGCTTGAAGCAATTTGGAATTCACAGAATATGTGTACGTCAGTTTTGATCACAAATTTGTGTAAGTCTAATAACAAATTTTGGAGATTCTGGACATGAGCTAATGTGAACCTTTACA